TCCTCCATGCTCCTCTCGGGATCTTGGGCACGCACACACACGCGCCCGGCGTGAGTTTTAAGCCACCGGGTCTGGGACGCGAACCGTGATCCACTACGTGGGAGTCCAGCGACATAGCCATTACGCTAACTGCTGGTTCCCAATACAGTTTATTTTAAAAGTTTCACTTTAAGGAAACATATATATATATATATGCACATGATAAAATATATTAAACACAATACAGTTTTTTTTTTTTTGGAGAGGTTTTCACTATATATATATATATTTACATGAATGGGATAAGGATATACACATTCTTTTTAGAAATACACCTTTTTTCTCCCCCAGAGGGTACATGTGCTCACCAGAGAGAAAGTGAGAGAGAGAAAGCACACATCCGTGGGGGACGGTCATGCTGTAATCCCTTGTCCTCCATTTCTCCATCCTGTTGGGATTTTGGGCATGCACACACACATGCCCGGTGTGTTTTTCAAGTCCTGGTGATGGGATTCAAACTGCACAGTTAGCCATGTGGGATTTGGCTTCCTTAACCACTAGGCCACAGGGCTGGCCCAATAAGCCTTATTTTAAAATATAGTTTTAGATTTATAGAAATATTGCAAAGATAGTACAGTGTCTATATTCCCTTACCCAGCTTCTCCCATTTTAGCATTTTACATTAGAATGCCACCTTTTTTTTTTTTAAGCATTATTTTATTTAACTTTATTTGTTTATATTTGACCAGAGAGGGAGAGAGAGAGGAAAAGTGAGAAATCGAGCTGCCAGGTCCAGGACTTGAACCGTGGTCAACCATGTGGGAGTCCAACGCCCTTAACCACCACACCACCTTCTGGCCCCAGAATGCCACCTTTTTAATAAATCATTAATGAACCAATATCAATATATTAGCATTATATATTATCAGTATATTAGCATTAGCACACTTTATTCAGATTTCCTTAGTTTTTACCTAATGTTTTTCTCTTTTTTTAAGTTCATTTCTTTCTTTCTTTCATGATAGAGACAGACACAGGAAGAGACAGGGACATAGGCACCCCAACATCACTGTCCTGTGATCCATTCCCAGTCTTGGCTGGCCCAGATCATGGGCCTGGGTGCTCAAGGAGGTCCTAGGATGCAAACTTAGGACCTTCCCCATGTGGCCCTGTTATAGTGCCACTGTGACATCACCTGGCCCCGACTGTCCTTTTTCTGTTCCAGGATCCCTTCTAGGATGCCAAATTGCATTTAGTTGTCATGTACCTTAGGCTCTTCTTGCCCACGACTCTTTCTCAGACTATCCCTGTTTTCGATGATCTTGACAGTATTGAGGACTACTTAGATATTTTGCTTAATTCCTCAGTTGAGATGTATATAACTGAAAAAGGATTTTCCCTTGATTAAAAGTGGGCACACATCTAAGAGTCAGAGAGAGAGGGGAGCACCATCCAGTCTGGTTACGCTGCGATCCCCTTCTTCCAGTCTCCCAGCCCATGGGATCTTGGGCACTTGCACATATACTCAGTGTCTCAGGCCAATTTGGCCAGGGATTGGAACCAAGGTTGCCCTGTGGGATCCAGCTTCTTGTTAACAGTGCATTTCTGCTGGGACATGCAACTGGTCCTAATTTCCTTATGATGGTTAGACAGGTGTTATGGGTTTTAGGAGAAAGGCCAGAGAGATCGAGGACCACTTTGGTCACATCATATCAAGGATACATACTAGATCACCTGTCCGAGAATGTGTTTATCAGTTCCTGCGCTTTGACATTGCTCCTTGGGGTAGCCCTTTGGCCTAGCAGTTAAGGGAGCTGCATCCCACATGATCGACAGGGTGATTTGAGTCTTAGCTCTGTCGGTTTGAGAACCATGCTGAGCACAGGTGCATCTATGTCTAAAATCCCAGCTGGGTGGAGAAAGGAAGAGGAGATTACACAGCGTTCATACCCCATTGAGGGGTGCTTTCTCTTGCCCTCTCTCTCTGATGAGTCCAGGAAAATAATCACATAAAATTAGTCCTCCCCCCTCTTTCCATGCTGTACTCTTTGTTTGTTATTTTGGTTGTATTTATTATTTTAAAAATATTGACCAGAGGGAACCAGCAATTAGCATAATGGCTATGTCGCTGGGCTCCCATGTAGTCGACTGTGGTCCGTGTCCCAGACCCGGTGGCTTAAAACTCACCCCGGACGCGTGTGCGTGCGTGCCCAAGATCCCAAGAGGAGAATGGAGGGGAAGGGATTGCGATGTGACCATCCTTCCTGAGGGGTGATTTCTCACTTTCTGTCTCTCTGTCTCTCTCTGTCTGTCTGGCGAGCACATGTGCCCTATAGTGAAAAACCTCTCCAATATATATATATATAGACCAGAGCCAGAGAGAGAGAGAGGGTAAATGAGAAAGCAAGCTGCCAGGTCCGGGACTTGAACTGTGTTTGACCACATGGGAGTCCAGTGCCTTAACCACCACTTGCCAGCCCCCATACTATAATCTTTGTAAGGAAATCTCTACGCATACTCCATACTTAGGGGATGAGGTGTTGTACTTCGTCTCCTCGAGGGTGGAGTGGCTCCATAAATTACTGAGACTCCTTCTGCAAGAAAGATTTGAGTTCTCCCCCATTTATTTACTTAACCATTTATGTATATCGGTATTGACTTATGGGTATTTATATTTTGGGTGATAATTTACCTCTTTATCTATCTTTTTTTGGGCTTTCTGTGCCTAACAGTATGTTGTGGACTTTCCATAACAGAGGAGACCATCATAACTCCTAGAGGTGAAATGTATTTAATTAATCCTCTACTGATGTACATTATTTCTTCCAATTTTTCCTGATTTCCAACAATACTGGAATGACACCCTCATACACTCATGTTGTACATTTGTGTGACTATTTCTTAGTTCATTTTCCCAATCCATTTTACACTTACACGATGTTCTCTGTTCTTTGGGCACATCTTGTTTTCCTTAGTTCACACTTTTTTTCCTCTATCTGGAATTCAGGGCTCAACCAGAAGGCTACTTGCCATAGAAGCTCTTCTTTAGTGTTTTCTTTTTTAAAGAATTAATTAATTAATTAATTTTTCATTTGACCAGAGAGGGGGAGAGAGAGAGATACCAAGCCTCCAGGTCCAGTACTAGAACCGCAGTCAGGCAAGTGGGAGTCCAGCGCCCTTGACCACCATGCCAGCTGTCGGCCCCTTCCTTAGTGTTTTGAAGAGAATTTAATGGTTCCATCCTCCTCTCTCTGTTGTACGCTTAGTCACAGTTATCATCAGAGCCTCCTATTCTATCCCAGGACCTTTTCCTACTAGTTAATGAATGGATAGAGGCAGAAATGTGATCGATCACACTCATCTGTGTACTCCATTCGCGTGGTGGGCATATAGAGTCGTTTACATAGTTTGACTTGGAAGTGACGACTCCGAGTAACTGCGAAATGAGTACAAGTTCTCACTATTGCATAACTAGTTGCTGCTCCTTTCTTTTTCACTGGACATTCATCTGCCCTGCGGGCTTTCAGGAGACAGGTGTCAGAGATAAGTTTTACTTTTTATTTAAAGTGAAAACAGCTGTGCTATATAGTTGGAAAGTAATTTCTAGTTCTCAAAAACTGTTTGTTGATTGGTGACTTTGGAACTGCAGTCTGTGTCTTCCAAAACGAACATCTCCAATGTGCCAAGTGTTTACAGGAAATTGCATATGAAAGCAGGGGAACAGAACTGAAGTAATTAGATAAGGCCTCTGATCCTTCCGACTTCCTTTTCAAGCAGGCAGGTGGCATAACACATTTTGCATATAATAATTAGTCCTAGAAGGTGAACGCCAAAAATAAAAACAAAACCGAGAGACAATGTTGGTTTGGCTGTGACGCTGCGGCAGAGTTGCCGCTACAGAACACACGCTGCAGTCCTGCCGCCCCATCCAGCCCGCGCCTAGGCGGAGTCGCACCCCTTCTGTTCCTACTCGGACGCGCGGTGACCTACACATCGGTGACTCCCCTCTAGGAGGAGGCCCGGCGGCAGACGCGCGCGCAGTCACCGCCACCGGCGGGCACCTGGGGCCGCGCGCTACGAGGCGCCACGCCTCCGCTCGCCGAGGCCCAATCATCTGGAGGCTCCGGGGGCACGTCCCGCCGCCGGCCACGCCCCCAGCCGGCGGGGGCGGGGGGGCCCTTAAGAAACCCCC